CATGTTGGGATGAAATGCACTTAAATAGTTAGACATTTCTACCATGTGTTTGAACGGTCGCATGTTCCATCTTGGCTCTCTTTTCTGCTCTCTTTAGGTTTTAACGCTCTCTCCTGGTCCTACCGATTTCTTCACTCTTGATTTTTTTTCCCTCGTTTGGTCACTCTTTGTTTTTCTAATTTGTTTTGTCGCTTTTTATTTTTCTCTTTTGTTTATTTTATTCTAACTCAAATTCTTTATGGCTATGATCACATCCGATGAGTATTACCTACGTATCATGACGCCGCATGAATCTGACTATTATGTAGTTCAGGAAAGTAATGTAAAAATAAAACAAAGAAATTTTGGGTTTTCGTTACAAAGATTCGAAATTACATCAAACACTAACTCCAGAAAGGACATATAGACTCAAAAAAAACAACAGACTCGATGTGAAAACAAAACATTCAGACTCGATTAAGAAAACAAAACATACAGACTCGATAAAGAAAACTAGTACAATGGGAAATGACTCAAGACTTCCGAAAAACACTCCAATTGGGGCCCAAGGAATCATCTGTTTGCCAGCTTGACGTGAAGAAATTCTAGATCGTCCATGACCTTGTCAGCGAAAGTTATCACCAAAGTAAAGTAGTAGCATTCCGTTCCAGGAGCAACCGTATAATCTGTTGTTCTTAGACTTCCACTACTCGCCCGATCTTATTGTTCTGGTTTTGCAGGTTTACTACATCACATTCCAGCTTGTGGAGCAACACATAGCAATGTTCCCTTTCTACTTCAAATTCCTTGGACTGCCGACCCAAACCCTCTTCTCGGGCACCCAATATTTTCCTAAGGGCGAAGACCACTTCGTCGTGATATTGCTTCGTCTGATGTGACAACCTCACACGGTTATTTATCTCTTATTTTAGTTGGCCAATCTTTTCTTTGGCTTTTCCCAATGCCTTTTCAGTATTTTCAAGAGTGGCATCATAATCTTGCATTTTTTTCTAGCAAACTGGCAATAGTTCTTTGGCCTTTCTAGTTTCTAACCGGTACTTCAGAGGCTTTCTTCATCTGTTGAAGTTGAGCACGAAGGATTTTATTTTCGTGGATCAGACTCTTCTTTTCATATTCAGCTTCTTGTGCTTGTAAGTATTTCTCAAAATTGAGGTTTCTCAGCTTTTCTTCTAAAGCATGGATAGTTGTTTGGTATCCCTTTTCCTTTTCTCCCCAGGCCAACCGTTCTTGGATCTTATCATCAAAGGCTTGAACATGCGGTCTTTCTGCGGGACTTTTGGGCTAGGGCTTGGGGTCGGGTTCATCATCTACGCAGCACCTCTTCCCAAATCACATAGCATAACCCAGATCTACCTCACCCCTCGTAGGATCCGGCATCTGAGAATCATCTTTCGAGAAGCGACAACCATCCCAAATTTGCGAAATTAAAGCCTTGGGGAGTGGGGCTTCTAGGTGTAGCTCAATCACTTGCACACTCAAATCTTAATCCTCGGGCACTACTTGGTACCTTCCTAGCTGTCTCAGAACTCTTTGTGGTGCATAGGGATGGACACCTCTCAAACCCACTAGCAACAAATACCTTTTCAGGGCTGATATGTGTATCACCTCTCTTACCGGGAGCAATCCCAAAGTTCACTCAATTTGACTTGCGTTTAAACATCTTAGGAGGCATATCCAGGCTTTAACCCCTTTTGGCGAGTTGTAATCTCTTACTCTTTCTTTGTAACTATCAATGAAATTATCCTTGCTTGGACCATAGCTCATGAACTTGGGGTGATGCCGAAGATGCTCAATCAACCACATTTGCAATTAAACATTGCACCCTTTGAAGAATTTTGCCCCGGACTAACATAAAGTCAATGCCTGATAGATGTCTGATAGAATGATCGGGGCAAGAGTGTGATGTTCTTTGGTAGTGAGGACATGTACAACCCTTGGATATACGGGTATCAATTGTCCGCTCCGCATTTGGGAAGACCATAATTCCCAAAAATATCACTATGAAGGTGAAGCGACGGTGAATCTGCCATGTGTCCTTGTTCTGCTTGTTGTTAAGGCCCTTTTCATTTATTTCAAATCCATTTGGTTGTCTGAACCTGGAGTACAGGAAGTAGAAAGAATAGCACCATTCGACTATGTTGGTCTTTTGAATTTGCTTACCGATATTCAGATTATCAAAGAACTGATGTACAGAGAGAGACCTCGGGAATATGAGCTTTTGATTTCTCAAATCCATGCCAAACCCGATGTATCCAGCTATCTCTTCTAAGGTGGGAGTGAGCTCAAAATTAGAGAAGCGAAATACATTGTGAACGGGATCCCAAAAGATCACTAGTGCCTCGATCAAATCATCTTGTGGTTTAACTTTCATAATGTCCGTGAGTGCTCCCATGTGCTTGGTGACCTAGTTTTACCCGTCTTGCCCCAAGTCATACCACCACATCTGAAGCTGGAGTGGAGCCTCGTCTACAACCGTCAACGGTGTGTTCTGGACAGTGCTCATATTATACCTGTGGGTGGTTAAGGTTAGGATTGATACTAGTTTCGGTTAAGGTTAGGATTGATACTAGTTTCAAAAGACAAAACCAATACACTCTTTTTGCAAAATAATCTTTTGCAAATAACCCAATTTTTAAGAAAAGTCAAAGAGATGTTGGCTATTTTTGCAATTGTGGCCAAGGAAAGGGTGGCTATTTTGCAACTATGGCCCCTTCGTACTTCCAAGGAAAGTTTTAGGGGCCAGGGGAGGACATTATAGTAAAAGTGACACCCAATTAACAGACACGTCCGTTTTTTGCGAGAACATCCCTTTAACAATTTGAAGATGTTCTAAGGCTAATACGACAAAAATGGCTCGGGATTAACCAAAGTTAAGTCGGCTTATTTGATTTTACAAAAAAACTGGACACGTATTTTATTTGTTTTTGGTTATTTTTGCAAAAAAATGGGGTCGAACCCAAACCGGTGAGAATCACACCCACGTAGTTCGTAAGTTTTGACAAAACATGGGAAACATGACACTTGAAAATTTTAGCTCATATTGAAATGACCTTTCTTTTCTTTTTTCACAAATTCGGTAGAGTTTCAGAATTTTTCAAATATTGGGATTTTTAGAAACGGGATGAATTTTCTCTCCTACCTCTCATTCTTGCTTTTTTCAACTTTTCTATCCATGCTCTAAAAATCGATCAACATGCAAATCAGATCAAATAAAATGCACTAGTAGCACGTAAAATGCATCAAGATAGTCTTGTAATTTTGGGTACCCAACCCTTGTGTTGAGTCTCCAAAGTCAAATGCACATGATGCAAACAAACGTTTCTACTAGGGAACTGGCATGAGGCTATGTTATTCTAGGTTGAAATCCTAGGGATGTGTTTTAGACCCGGCTTACCCAAGCGGACAACTTGAGCCTAGGTGGGAGCAGCGTACCGAGAGCACAAAAGTATATCCAACCTAGTTACTGAACTAGTCCTGTTTTAATTGGTATGACCTCTAACAGAAAAGTGGGTCACGCGCACGTGTACACCATAAATTCAGAAGGCTCGGAATGGATGCTTAAGTAGACAGTTTATACAGTTCAAATAATATCAAAGCGTTAATTTGAGCGGCAATTAACACATTAGACTCACAAACACAACAATATCATACAATCAATAAAGCCAAGTATAATCACATTACAAGCTTGAATTCTGAACCCTGAACTAGAGATTCTGGGGTTCGATCCCCAACAGAGTCGCCAAATCTGTCACACTTTCTTTTTACAAGGAAATGAGTTTTTTCAATTTAAGTGGCATTATTAAACAACAACAACAACAACAACAACAACCCAGTATAATCCCACTAGTGGGGTCTGGGGAGGGTAGTGTGTACGTAGACCTTACCCCTACCCTAGGGTAGGGAGGTTGTTTCCAATAGACCCTCGGCATCCTTCCCTCCAAGAACTACCCACATTTGCTCTTGGGGTGACTCGAACTCACAACCTCTTGGTTGGAAGTGGAGGGTGCTTGCCATCAGAGCAGCCCACCTTGTCTCTTAAGTGGCATTATTAAAATGAGATTAATTTAATTTATTTTTATAGAGTCGCCAGTTGGAATAATTATTTACGGTGTCCCAAGTCACCAATAACAACATACCCAGTATTATCTCACACTGTGGGGTTTGGGGAGGATAGTGTGTACGCAAATCTTACCCCTACCTTGTGAGGAACGAGTAAGAAATTTTGTTAACTCGAAAGAAAATGCTAGGCATTCCCGGATTCCGTAATTTTAGCGCAATCACTTTACAATCATAACTTGGCTTAATTATCCGATTATTACGTGTTTTAAACCTAGTTGCATTTTTACCTTTTACCTCTTTTAATTTGCTTGATTATTAAATTATGGAATTAAACTTGAAAACAGATCACGTGTGTGAGAATCCATTTTATTTGGCATGTCAAAGTCATTTCACGCGTACGTGTACACAATTAATAATACTTAATTATTTATTAAGATTGTTTGTCCAAAGTCAAGCGTACCTTGACTTATTTTTGGGATCATAATTATGTCACATGAACATGTACATAATCACAATAGTAGATTAAAAATGTGCCTAAAGCAAACTTAGGATGTTCATGAATTATTTGCTTTCCTAAAATTTGAGATTACATGGGAGAGTTTGAACGAGTGTTGGACGTGATGGACGAGTGTTGGGTTCTGTAACCTTTGAATTTTAGGCCCAAAGTCAGGCCCTAAGTAAGGCCACCATTACAGTTACGATTATGGCCAATAATTATAGATACTAGCCACTACTGACTTTTGCCAGATTCATTTCTAGTTCTACGCAAACAGGAATTGGCGTTAATTACCAACAGAAGAGAATCGTGATTGTGTTTATATATGCATTCGAATGGCAAAATAGCCAAAATTTAACAATCATAATAATGACTCGAATATTGTGATTAGAATGAGTTTCTATCCTTATCCAGATCTTCATGCTATCAGAAAACTAACTGCGAATAAGCAATCATCTCCAAAGCTTGCATTTGAATTTACTAAAATCCTAGAATTTACAACTAAGCCTCTTAATTACAATCCTTAACGAAATCAACAAGGAATGAGTAGTTTTACTATAATTACATTTTATTTATAACAATATCCAAACATAAACAGAAGATGCCCAGCTCTTAATTCAAGCCTGCCCGTCATCAGGGTGTTTAATCCCACTTTTTGGCTTCAAATTTAACAACCTGGCCAATTAATGATTAAATCGGTAAGTCACACCCACACAAGACAATAACAGCCTCCTCTTATCACCCATTACTACACACCCAGTGGCGGAACCACATGCACCCAAGAGGTGTACCGACACCCCTTCGTCGAAAATTACACTGTTTAGCTCGATAATTTTTTTAAAATATGTATATATACTATATAATAACACATTGATTTCTATGTGAGTTTATTTCTTTATATTCGGTTGCATTTTTTTAATTAAATTCTTATTTAACAGTCATAATATACAAATCAGCAGTGGAACAACACCAAACTTAGCATAGAAGACACCACTTCTATAATTACACTTTTTGCCCCCGGTTCTTATTACTTTTCCTTTTTAGATTTCTTTTTATCCAAATCCCCAAAAAAAACAGGCTCAAATAAACAAAACGAAAACAGAAAGAAAAATGAACGACGAATCAAATAGACAAGTCAATTTTAATCAAACAAGAGTTCATGCTAAACAAAGTAATCAAGATACGCGTAATTGAATTTTTATGCTCATTTATCAACTAATAAAAATACCTGCAATTAACACTTAATCAATCTGAAACATGATTGGCACCACTGTATTTAACAGAACAAATACACACAAAAATGAAATAAGAAAAGAAGAAAGGGAATGAGTTATACCCATTTGATCTCGAGATGAAGCAAAAGAGGTAGCCTCAGAAAAAGTTCTGGCCGGTCAACGGCTGGTTGACCAATATCCGACCTCCGAGAAACGGAGTGAATCTTACATCAATGGATAGTTCTCATCAACAGCTTTCTACTGATGTAAGTCTCAACCGTAAAGAGGACAGATCGATCGAGGAAATGAAGAAGAACCGAGTGGCGGCTAGGGTTCAGTTCCTAGATCTACAATTCGAGGGTTTCATTGAGGTTTTGGAAGAAGCTAAATGTGGGATGGTCATGTGGAGAAAGCAAGGAATATCTGGGGGTAATTTGGGGCTAGTTGGAGGTTGGCCGCTGCCGAGGGCGAATTCCGGCGATGGCGTGTGGCGGAGGGTGAGAGAAGGGAAAGGGGGATGATCTGAGAAGGGTTATGGGGGTTGGGGTGGTCGTTTCGGACAGTTACAAGGGAAACACAAGATTAGTTCTCTATCACTGGATCAAGTGAGATGAAGGGTGGGGATTAATCCGGGACAAAACGGGGTTGTTTGGTATTGGGGAAAGTCTGGACCAGGTGGGTTAACGGACTGGGAACGGGGCCGCTGCAAATGTTGTGCCCAATTACAATAGGGAACAGGCAGCCCCTTTCTCTTTTCTCTTTTTATTGGGTTTTCAAAGTTGGCCAATTAGCTAAACATTCTAATTTATACCTAATTTGCAAAATTAAACAATTTAACAATTGACTAATTAAATGCATGAATTATTAAATTAAACTAATTGATTAATCAAGATAACTAATATATGATATATTTTTTTGATTTTGTGTTATAATAAAAAAATGCAACTATGCCGTTAAAAGCTAATGCTGCAATTAAAGTCTAAAAATGCTACGAAAGGTAAAATATTTTGGATGATTTTTATGATTTAAAATCGTTCCTAGTGATGCAAAAATAATCTATTGATGCAAAATAAACAAACAAAAATTCCTAAAATTCTACAAAATAATTAAAACTATTTCGGAATATTTTTATGAGTAATCTATGCAGAGGGAAAAAATTACGTGCTTACAGTTATCACTTACTTACATTCGCATATACAATTTACTATTTATATATAAAATAATATAATATACTCCAATTTTACTCATTTTTCTTCACTCTTCTTCCTCCCTTCGCGAAGTGAGAAACGACAAGAAGGTTTGCGATGAGTTTAATCTATCCACGAGTAATTTAGCATATGTGGGAATGGTGTGGATTTCATGATTTATTATCTCATAGAAATCAGGAATAGCAGCAGACCCAAAGGAAAAGCAATTGAAGAGGAAATCCGAGTCCCGGTTTAATGGATGAGTCTATTGTATTTTTAGAACAATATATGAGTGTAAACTCCATTGACATTTATTAAAAAAGTGTTAGAAATTTTTATTTCGAAAATTGAATTTGGTGAATTATTATTTATTTGGATTGAGTGTTGTTGTAAATGATTGGGGATATCCTTTGTAGTTTATATTTTAATTTTGAGCGGTTTTTGTGAAGATTCGAGTTGATTTTAGTTGGAATTTCAGATTAAAACTCAGGAAAGAACACAAACAAATTGTATATATTTTGTATGTCGGGTGTACAAACTGCAAACAAAATATATACAACTAATATAATTGTAACAAGTTGTATATAAATTGTATGTAAATTGTAGTTTTTAAACGGATTCTCTACAACAACAAAAATTATTTAAGTTGTAGATTTTGACCGAATTTATATATATTTTATAAAAAAAAACTTAAGTTACTTTTCGTAAATAGAAAAACTTAGACAAAATTGGATAAATAAGTTTAAAATCTCGTATATATACAAAAAAGTGCCCAAAATTGAGTATAATCGTATACAAAAAAGTGCCCAAAAAAGTGCCCAAAATTGGATAAACAACTATCTCGTATATAGTATATTATTATAACATATCTAAATTTTAGTATAATCGATGACGCACAAAATTGAGTTAATTAGATTATGTGACAACTGATATTATTTCAGTTTAATAATTGAATTAATTTTTTTTTCTTTTTCTCCTTGTTTCTCTTCAAAGAACTCTCAAGAGCGTATCTCTTCTGCTATCTAGTAGTGGGTCTTTTAAGAACAGACTATTTGGAAACTTCCCTACCACTTCTAGCAGCAATAAAACTTGCCACGGTCACATCATCATATTTCTCCTTACTGTTATCATTCTCTTCTTCAGACAAAGGTCTCATCTCAGAAATTACAAAATTTAATGGCATTGCATCAAAGTGAGGGGAATGAGAAGGGTCAGTACTATACAAGGGCTCTTTTGTAGAGCATGGAGTTTCATCCCAAGTAGGAGCAAAGTGCTCTTCTTGGGCAGAGGGAGCAGGTCCCTCTGTTGTCTCCCCTGTAGTACTAACTGGCACCAAGTTAACAAGAGGCACCAAATTCCCACTTCCAACTCCATTTCCTTCTCCTTCCCCCTGATACCCGGCGGTCACATCACCACACTCATACTCCCCAACCAACCCCCAATCGCTAGCAATAAGTAGAATATTCTCTAAAGCTTCTCTCCCACTCACACCCACCAGTTAGAATCAGTAGATGCAAGAGAGGCATTACCTTACGGAGAGACAACATTCAAATCAAACGTCAGAGCAAGAGGAGTGACAGGCACTTCTAATGCTTTACCACAACCAGCAACATCCTCTTGGGCTACAAAGACCTCCTCAACTTTCTGACTCGAAACCTCTGGTCCCTCTTCTCCGTCCATTGTTTCGTCTTCTGCCATTTATTTCGACGAAGAAGAGGGAGAGGTTATAGCGACAAACCTTTTGGGAGTTTGATATTTCCAGCTACGATGAGAAACAGAACTCGATGGGGTAAGAAAGGAGACAATGGGCGGTGGTTGGTCTGAGTTGGGGTTTTCACTGGGTGAAAGATGAGGCTCAGGCTCGTGCTACAGTGCTTCGTGATATGAAGACACAGTGGGAGTGACAATGGTAGCACTTGGAGACTCTAGATTCTGGGAAGACATGGTGATTTTTTAGAGTAAAGACATAAGAGAGAGGGGGTTTTCTAAGAGAAGAAAAGAGTTTGATGGCTTTGATGTAGACAATTATGAGAAATACGTCTTTTGGTGTTATTTAGAGAGAAAGAAGGACCGGTTACAAATGGGTGCAAAGGACTGGGTAGACGGGTCGTTTTGGAATGGGTGTGACGCTTGGGCTTAAAAAGGATGAGAGCAAAGGCAGACACATTTTAATGACGTGGCACTTTTATAACCGTCTAAAATGCATATGAGTGTAAAAGGAACTACTAACTTGAGTCAAGGGAACCAGGTTTCCTGACTGAATTCTTTAAATATGAGCCTCATCCTTCTACCAAAATGCAGTATCATTAGTTGCTTGTTTGCTCTGTAGTTTGCATGCATGTTTATGTGTAACGGTATAAAGTTGAGTTAGAAATTACCATAAAATACTTTTTAGCAGTTTACCTTTTCATTCCTTCATAGCCAATCATCGAGGGACCCGATGCTCAGTTCAATTTTATTAGTCCCAACTCCAGTCGATTATATTCAAAATGCTCTCTGCTCAATGCTTTGGTGAAGATATCAGCTATCTGGTCTTCTGTTTTGCAAAACTTCTTACATATAGGACCCTTTTCAACATTGTCACTAAGAAAGTGATGTCGCACATTAATGTGCTTTGTCCTCTTATGCTGAATCGGATTCTTTGCCATGTTGAGAGAACTTGTGTTGTCACACAGTAATGGTACACAATCAAAAAACATACCAAAATCTTCCAGTTGTTACTTGATCTACAACAGTTGAGCACAACAAGAAGCAACTGCCACACATTCAGCTTCTGCAGTAGAAAGAGACACATAGTTTTGTTTCTTTGTACCCCATGAAATCAAGCATGATACTAGAAAATGTGCCATCCCAGATGTCATTTTTCTATCCACCAAATAACTAGCATAATCAGCATTAACATACCCAATTAAGTCGAAATTATCTCATGAGGGATAGTAGAGGACCAGGTCTTGTGTTCTTTTAAGATACCTCAGAAGTCTCTTGGCTTCTTTCAGATGAGATTCCTTTGGACTTGATTGGAATCTAACACATAATCACAAGCCGAACACAATGTCAGGTCTTCTAGCTGCGAGATACAAGAGTAAACCAATGATACCTCTATACATGGTTTCATTGACAGGGGAACCCGGTTCGTCCATGTCCAGACGAGTGGCAGTGGAAATAGGAGTATCAATGGTTTTTGAGCTTTCCATCTCAAATCTCTTTAGAAGCTCTTTAATGTATTTCTGCTGACTTATCATCGTTCTCTTAGAGGTTTGCTTAATTTGCATACCTAGGAAGAAGTTTGGTTCCCCCATCATGGTTATCTTAAACTCGCTTTCTACAAGCTTGGAAAACTCCTCACATAAGGAATTATTTGTTGCACCAAAGATAATGTCGTCAACATAGAATTACACAATCAGCAGGTTTCTCCCCCATTTCTTCAAAAGGAGAGTGTTGTCAATTTTCCCTCTTGTAAAGCCATTTTCCAGAAGGAACCTAGAACATACCATGCACGAGGGGTCTTCTTTAAAACATATAGTGCCTTATTGAGCTTGAATACATGTTCAGGGTGCTCATGACATTCAAAACTAGATGGTTGTTTGACAAAGACTTCTTCCTTTAAATATCCATTCAGAAATGCACTCTTGACATCTATTTGGAACAATTTAAATTTCATATGAGATGCAAAGTCAATGAGAATTCTGATGGCTCTCATTCGTGCAACTGAAGCAAAAGTCTTATCATAGTCAATACCTTCTTCTTGAGTATAGCCTTGAACCACTAACCTGGCCCCGTTCCTTGTTGTATTCCCAAACTTATCAAGCTTGTTTCTATCCGAAGGTCGAGGAACCAGGTGTCATACGTTGTTCCTCTCAAATTGATGGAGGTCATCTTGCATAGCAAAAATTCAGTCAGCATCTTTCAATGTTTCCTTCATATTTTGGGGTTCAATTTTATAAAGGAAAGTTGAGAAGGCAAACATGCTTCTTCTCTTTGATCTGGTTTGAATCCCTGAATCAAGAGGAGTGATCACATTCTGGAGAGGATGTGAGCTTTTATGCTTCCAGTTGGACACTTGAATCTCATTGTGAGAAGATCCAGGTTCCTCTGAGTGGGATCTATTGTTAGCATCAATGGAAGAGTGAGTGCCACTTCTCTGCTCATCATCGGGAGTTCCTTGCACGGCATCAGCAACTCTGTTTTCTGCTTCAGTTGCTATAATGGAGGAACCAGGTTCCTCTGAATCATCTTGAGGTTCTGTTGTATCTTATTCATTAGATTCCTTGACCTGACTCATCAGATCAACCTTCCCGTTTTCCATATCAGCTACTTCTCCAGGAACCTTTGATTGCTCTCCATCTTGATCATTCTTATCATGTGAATCTTTCCCACTTAAGTGATGTTATTCATCAAAGATTACAGGTACGCTTTCTTCAACACATTGAGTCCTGTTCTTGTAGACCTTGCATGCTTTGCTTTGTGAAGAATATCCAAGAATGATCCCTTCATCACTTTTGGCATCAAATTTTTCTAGCGCTTTCTTACC